CAAAAACAGAATTAAAAAAAAACATGTTTTCTTTGACACCAGGGAGCTCAAAAGTGCCAAAATGCTAACTCATTGTCGTGTTTATTTGTGCAGCCACTCTATGTTCGCCATTAACCAGGAGATGAGCTGAATAATCAATAGCAGTCAGCCCTTCCATGCACATGCAAAAATGTAAAAAAAAGGGCCCGCCGTTCGCAATTCACCCAGCTTTTTAGTTGTCTATGTGACCTCTTGGATGTTAATCAGACTGTTAGTGGCCATCATTTACAGTTCATAGTTCTGCACACAACACAAGTCCGTTGTCTTTGGGCCACTGCTTTCCTCAGCTTACATCAGGGATAGAGATTCAGACTTTATCAATGTATTTGTAGGGTTTAAACCAATTAGAGTTGTTTGGAAACCAGACATATCTTCCCAACAGTTTTTAGTTACCTAACCAAATCAATGAAGGGATGAAAAACCGATCACTATCGAGCCCTACAGATCAGACAACCAGACAATGCATTCACCCTTACAGCACGTCTTTAAGTTGTTACACAAGTTATACATCTTGTTGTTTCCTAATACCTCATCATCCAAACATTTCCACATCAAGGCAACAGATGTTTCAGATCATTTTGTTAAAAAATGATGCTTGATTTATTTTTCTTTCATTCTAGGACTCCTATGACACTAGCAAAGTTTGCTGTTCGGCGATACAAAGGAAAATTAAATATATGAATCCGACTCATTCTTGTTAACAACTTCCAGTGAAGGATCCTTGGAGAAATATAATTTAAGGGGCCAGAGTTTTAATGCTACCAGGGCAGGTGTGACCTCAAAGACATGCATGGGAACACACACAGCAATTTGATATCCTGGAAAGAACATCCCATACAGTTTCCTGCATGAGTCAACACGGCCTCACAGGGAGGACTGCGATTTGTCTCTTCAGAATGAGGAGTTGTGCAGAGCTGGAACTCCTCCTCGTCCCTCTTTAATAAACACACCTAGACCACACATCGCCTGTCAGCAGATGGCCAGGAGATCATGATAGAGGCATCCTGTGAGAGCTGGTGTGCTTTGTGTGATTGATTTAAAGAGGTGAAACATTCAGGGGATTGGCTACATTAATCTATTTATCCCACCAGCATCATTATTTCTACGTTGTAGAATACTCACATACTCATGTCAGTCACCTGTCTGTGACATTGTGCCCATGCTGCAGAGCTGTATGTTGACAGCTGATTGGTCAGGGCACAGTGATGTCAGTGGAAACTGCACAATGTGCTTTGGATTAAGACAACCAAATGATGATGGTAACTTAAACAAAGGGTTATTAGAACCAGCACTGTAACTGGAAACTTCTTGGGGGCATAATGTTTAGAATAGTATGTGTGGCCTTCGATGTAAACATATGTCAGGTTATACTGTGAGTGATTGTCATTATGTAATGGTGAAAGAAGCTATAGCCATAAAGCAACATCTGTGAACACTGCCGTCATTCCTAGTTAAAGCTCTCTCTGCTTATTCTGATGGAGCGCTTTGTTAATATGAACACAAAAGGGCCTATCTGGCGTATTACACTTCAGGTGCCTTTCAATTGTTTGAGATACCTTTTTACTAATAGAGTGGTGCAGAAATGAGTCCTTAACCCAGAAATTAGTTAGCATTTGTAGTAGGGCTGCTCAATTAATCGTATTGTAATCGCAATTACGATTACGGCTTGCAACGATTACGAAAACAACGTAATCGAAATATAATAATATATTTGTATTGATTTTTTTTTGTATTGGTTTTTCAGTTGAGTTATACTTAAAGTTCCGGGTAATCAACTGTTAAAAACATACTGTTAAAAACTGTTTTTAATAATCGTGATATCAATTATTGACCCAAATAATCGAGATTATGATTTTTGCCATAATCGAGCAGCCCTAGTTTCTAGCAAAAAATCTTTAAGAGATGACATGAGCAGTCCTACCAGCATTTGCCATGGTGGCCAAAACATTTTTATTTGGTCTTAAATTGTAGTTCAACATTTATTTCCTGTTACTTCTGGACCATGACGGTGGGCCAGCCTTTAATGTTTAACTAAGTGGAATATGTTGAATATGTTTTACCAAAATGTTGGCTATATGTTAAGGAGTTTTCAGGTTGTGACAGTGCACTGCGACATGTTTGTTGATCTTGTTTATTGGTATTTATTTTTATATTATTTATTTAAATGTAGATATGAATGTATCATTTATTTTATTTTGTATTGGTTTTTCAGTTGATTACCCTGAACGTATAATTCAACAGTTAACAAGTTCAAATTATTATTTGTATTTGTTTTAAAGTACAATAAATGGATGTTTTCAAAGTCAATAAATAATCGCATTTAATAATCGAGCAGCCCTAATTGATAGCACTTCCCTCCCTCGTCTGAAAGTCAACGGATACTTGAATTAGTTTTTGATGAGGTTGCTGAAATTATTGATATGGTTAATACAAACTTACGAGATATTTAAGTTTTTTCTATGACATAAAATATGTCAGTAAATACCCCACTGTTGAAAGTCTGAAGTTTTTACTTAGTTGTTTACTTACCAACATTAGCCGCCTTTAGCTTCGCTGTGGTGAACTGAGGTTACTGTGATGTGGTTTTGTTACATTATATTGGCCATATAAGCTGGCTATTATATTGTTGCTTTAACTATTATAATAGTGGTGTTAATAAGTGAAGGTATTGTTCTGAACAAAACGTGTAAGTATCTTAACGTGCGTTTATGATCTCATTTTCTGCAACATTCCCGAAAATTCAATGGAAAGATTCCAGTGCTTTTTGTTGAGGGAGCCCTTGCCCCTGATGGCCTAAAGCTGGCGAAAACTGTTACAAAGTTAGAATCCGAAAAGTTCTACGGTAATGTTTCTGTTATTAGAGATTGATGGAATAATTCATGTAATGTGTAACAAGTCACTGTAGAGAGTGATCCAATAGCTGTACAGTTCACTTCTCATCACACTTGATGTGAAGTTCTTTAGTTTGTTCCTTTTGGGACTCTTTGTTTCGTTTTTTATGTAAACCTTCTGGCACATGTTTTTATTGTCTTCATGTTTCTGTAGTCTGATTGTTTACCTTTTTTCTTTTTAAGCACGTTGTGAATTGTATTTCTGTGAAAGGTGCTATACTAAATAAACGTATCATTATTATTATTATTATTATTATTATTAATATTATTATTATTATTATTATTATTATCTCTTCAGAATGTTTAGCGTCACAAACCTCCCCCCTACCTCCCAGAGCTTTCCAAGAGCCCAGTCATGATGTTGTCGCAACATAGTCCAAATGATTGAATTTAAGTTGACATAATTAGATTCCTGACAACCAGAAATATATATAATACAATAAATGGGGTAATATTGAATGAATATCTTATGTAATATAAATGAAACATTAAAATCAGAATCATTCTAAGCTAAATAAATATGGCTGTTACCCTGATGATACCCCAATACAACTCAATGTGTCTTTTGATGGTGGTGTGTTACCCCAGCTAATCAGCACCAGTAGCTACTGAGGCTGGACAGACAACTCAGACCCCTTTTACACCAGGACGAAACGGGTTGTATATATCGACATTTTTATTCATTGGGATAAACCCCTTGAGATGCACCATCTCGTTTTCAAGGGCAATAGCAACAACTTACAGACATACATAAACAAAAAGACAAAATGCAAAACATGACACACAAGACAAACCACATACAGTCTGTTAAGTGAAATTCAAGCAATGCACACAATCATTACAATTTGAGACAGTCAAGCAAATCAGTTTCATCAATATCAGTTATAACAAGTACAGACCAGTTGAAAGTGAGATAACAATGCATGTTTAAATAAACCCAATGATGCAAGAGATCTAATAGCAGCAGGTAAAGTATTCCAGTCTGTTGGGGCTTTGAACATGAACGCTCTTCTGCCAATACATTTGTTTGCAGAGGGGACAGAGAAATAAATCTGAACAGAATGTCTAACTTGATGATTTGACGAGTAGGGTATGAAATACTGCTTTAAATAAGGGGGATAGTTAAGATAAATGCATTTAAATATCAGCTGTATCCATAGTGTCTCTTGCGTATAGCCCTTTCGTTTACACGAGGCCGTAACAAAACGGTAGAAACGGACCCCGCAAACGATAACGGGTCCCAAGGTGGATAGATCTGCAAACGGAACGCTCTGGGGGGGCAAACAGCTCCGTCTGTACGCCTCTATACGATCATTTTCTGATAGCGATGAAATAGCCCTGCCTCCCTCTCCCCACGTCTCCCTCTCCCCACGTCTCCTGCTCAGAGATCAGCTGCTTGGCTGTCAGAAGAGGGGGAGGAAAAGAGAGGCTCCGTTTATTATTCTTATATTATTATATAGAGTTGTTATCAATTTGTTTTAAAGCTCAATAAATAACAAAGAAGACCTCTGACCAGCACTTTTCTAATTTTGTACGGAAGTTTTAAACTTTAACGGACATGTTGACCGGCGGAAACTCTGCTGCACGGTCCCCTCGTCCCTTGGAAGAGGCGGAGAGGTGGGTGTTTTTCATCTGCTGGTGGACTACCGGAGAGATCTACTGCAGGAGCACACGCCGTCCACCACGGAGAATAAACAGAAGGGCAACCATGGCAACCATGCTCCGGGGGTCTTCTTCGCTGCTTTTGGTGTATCTTACAGGCCTGGCATATGTACTACAGCGTTTCCAGCGGTCTCGTGTGAACGGACACGTTAAATGAATCGAATGCGTGTGAACGGAAGACTTTTTTGAAAACGCATACAGTGCGTAAACGCAAACGTTCCCGTGTAAATGGGATCAAAGAAAGACCCTTTACAAACCGACTGTGATCAGTGGAGTCAGATACTGCTGCAGAGGAGAGGACACCTCCAGAACTCTGTTTAAGCCTTTAGTGTGTAACCTTATCGTCTTCTTTCTATTTGTCCCCTGAGTGTATTCTCTTATTCATTGTTTGTCATTCTTTTCTTCCAGGCTTCAAGTGCCCCGTGTGCTCCAAGTTTGTGTCCTCAGATGAGATGGATCTGCACCTGGTGCTGTGCTTAACCAAACCCAGAGTGACATATAACGGTAGGTGTTCCTTTTTAACGTTACAAATAAAAGACATACAAGGCTGGTGAGAGAAGTGTACAGCTGCTGGACTTATTATGATATAAATAAAGATATGTCAAACAAAAACATAAACAAGACTTTACTGTATTATGTGCTAAACCACAGAAGTGCTGTTGCAATGAAACAAATCAAAAGTAATAGACATTACAGCTTACATTGATCTCAATGGGATTTTACCTGGATAAATAAAGGTTTTGAATTGAATTGACATGATATGTAACTCTTCCTCTGTTTACAGTCCCTGAGATCTTGTGTAATCTTTCTAAAGTATTTCACTTGTTATTCAGGTATCAATGACTATTATCTTTTGTATTTGAATAACATACCAATCAGGTTCATGTCACGGGCTGCCCTTTGCTCCTGAGTGCAGAAGTTATTATGGGCTGTGTGAGTGACATGCAGCATTATGCAGTCAGTCCTCAGGTATACACTTCTGACCCTGATGTTGAGCCAACGATCCTTGAAAATGTGGTTTGTAAAGAAATGTAACTATGTACTGAGTGGGACATTTTACAGATGAAACATAATCCTGTCACTGTGTCCACAGGGACCCAAATCAAATGAGTGGATTCCCCTTAAAAATGCAGGGGGGTTAACTGCAGTTACCGCCAACTCTGAAAACATAACTCATTTGACTGTAACTCTAGGGATATTAGTGCTGCACCACATTGTTTTGGAAGGATGCTCTTTTGCATTCAAGTATTTAGTTCCAAACGTCTGCATATAACCTCATTTCAATACAGTTCATGGAAACAGTTAGATGTACATTTAACCCTTTCTGTTGATTTGATCATTTTATTTTTGCCTTATTTGCACAATCTTGGTGAATTCACCCCAATGCATGCTTTGCACCCTACGAGCACAGTTGTTATCTGAATTGATTGTTAGTTTGTTACTTAGCTGCTTTGAAAAACAGCAGCCGCAGCTTCTTTGTTAACGGGAAATAACATGGCGGGACAGAGAAGTTGCTTGCTGCTGATTGGTTAGGGTATTCAACTAGAAACCACTAACAGGAACTAGAATAATGAAGTGAAACAAATGGAAATTCAGCTTGATACAGGAAAACCTTTGGCATCAGTTTACTGTAAAACCTTATTTACTGACCATCAAATACACAAATATTGTTGATGAAGTCAAATCTGAGTATTTGATTGAGATTGTAAAGCCTATTTCCCAATGCTGGGGTGAAGGGGAACCCAGCTGGTGTCATGCATCAAGTGCTGGGGAGTTGTTCTGCTCGTATGAAATAGTGTCTTCAGAGGAGCTGTCTCAGTATGACTTTTGATGTCTCTTGACTCAGTCTCTCTTGGGGCTGAAGACTGAGCGTTTGAAAGGAAAAAAACAGTTAGAAAGAAGTGACCTTACCTGACCTCTGTAACCAGGCTACATTAGCCACTAGTACCATAACCCGAGTCAAAACCCACCTGGGAAATGAGTGCATTTTGGGCCATGAAGGTACCATGATTTGACATGAAAGAAGACAGAGACTATGGTCTATCTGTCAAAACAATCAGGTCTCATGTCTTTCCCAACAACTTCCCCTTAACTTCAGTGAGAAGGTCCTGGGGTCAGGAGAGATGTGAGGAGAGTTCCGACCTGATTCTGAGACCCCAGTGGATATGTTGATGTGTGTCTGCTGTGGGGAAACTACAATGTTCCATAGATGCACTACAGTAATCCCATCTAGATACTTGACCCTGTGCATAATAATCATGTTGTTAAATGTGGGCTTTATGAACATGGACAACAGTGGCAAATATTAAATATATGACTTCATTACCAAGGTTTGAATTCAAAAAGAGATGGAAAGTGAAAGTACAGATGTTTTCTCACGCTCACCCTGCTGTCCACTCCTATGAGTCCATTTGAATTCCAGTCAGCATGATTATATGAAAGTATTTGACAAATGATTGTTTATGCAGTTAATGCAAAACGTTTTAGGCCTACACGTCTACTACTACGCATATCACCATTCAACATGTTCAATAAATGACATTTTGACTTGATTTCATCATTTTACAATAATTAGTGTAATGATCATAGTTCACCTTATCGTTTAACATATTGTTGAAGATTCATAACCACTATAGCAAGTTCTGGAATAAGATGGGAAATGCATGGTAAGCGCAGTTTCTTACATGATCTGCATTTGTCCTCACAATCAGTTGTTAATGTGAACAACAAAATGGTTCGTCACTTTAATATCTTTTTTTTAATATTTTCTACTTCCCTTTTCATGAGAATGTTAACAGCATTTATCATGGCTGCTACTTACTGTAGGTACTTAGGGTCATTTCACATTTCAGTTATTAGCCTCAGAGTAAAGTTATTTATCAGAGATGAACACTATCGGACCACAACACATACTGTATCTCTTCTTCTGCTGCATCCATTTGGCTCTTGTTTTAATTATGTAGAAATACGCACTGTTCAAGATGCAAATAAGAAAATAAAAAGTATAAATGTATGTGACCAGGTTGCGGAACATCAGGCCATTGGCACAAGGTAGGAAGGGGGGGCAATACAAAAGTAGCCTGTGCTGTATGAATCAATGGGACTCTTTCTATTGTAAGATCTTTCATTACAAATCACCTCAGCCTGCCTTCCCCTCATCATGACCTGAGTCTGAGCAGAAACATGACTGCAGGGGAACTCTCTTCCCTGCAAACCTGTAAAGAACATCTCTGGTATGTTCAAGTCATATCTGGGTTTCAGAGGTTCTAATTCCTCACTGAAGTGGCCAGACAGGAAATGAGGTTCCAACAGAGCGCCATGTTCTCCACAGCTGATCACATCAGCAGTCATTATCCCAGTTAAAGTTTCATTCTTGTCATGTCTATAATGGAATCAACCTGCATGGGGGGGGGGGGGGGTCACCCAATTCCTACTTGTAATTTTTTCTATCTATAGCCAATCAGATGTCTCCTCAATTCTAAGCTTTATGTACGCATTTTTGCGCTGTCCGGAGCTGACAGGTCCATGGAGCCTGCCTGCAGGCGCTAATCTCAGGACACCTCCACTCTCAGTACAGCGCCCCTTTCCGAACAGGAAATGCAAGCAAATACAAGCCTTTATATTATTAAGGTACCGCGCCACTTTCCAAACCATTGATGAATGCTTGTGTACACAAAAACGGCAGGCAAAACCGTTTTAAATGTGTGTTTCCTGTATGGCGAATACAGCTGCTTTATTTATGTCTGTATGAAGTTGTTGTGAGTGTGGAGGGAGCAGCTACAGGTTAGCTTAGCCTAATCGATCAGTGCACTACGAAGCCAGTGCTAGACCTGTTAACGGGGGGGATACATTATCGGCCGATATTCACTCTTAATAGTTTGATCGGTGCTCTCTATAAAGGCCGATCAGGAGAGCTGGATCTGATCAATATGGACATAAACGTGAGTGAAGTTTTAGCGAGCTGCATGAGAAACTGACGGGCTAGTGTCAGGAGAGAGAGGAAAAGAGAGGATCCGTTACTCCCGTGTTATTAGCCATATCCGGTCATAGTCCGGTAATTTCCTGCTAACGGCAACTCTGCTACACAATTCGTCTTCTTCTTATTATTATTCTTATTCTTATTATTATTATTATTATTATTATTATTATTATCATTGAAAAATGACCGGTAAGTTTCAAATGTGTCCGGTAAAATAAATTCTGTCCGCGGAAACCCTGCTGCGGACTGCGCACAATGCGTACATGAAGCGCTATGTCATGAACGCAATAAATCATACCCTTGTGGGGACTCGCTCATGTGATTGGCTTAGAATGGAGGAGACATCTGATTGGCTATAGATATAAAAAAAAATACAAGTACGAATCGGCTGACTGTCAGGGGAGTCTCAAAAACCCACACACGAATGCACAGCGATCCGTGCACAGAAAGCGGTTTGTGTTTGCAGGTTCAGAGGATTTAAACGGAAACAAATATGTGAGGATCAAATATGTAACACTTTTTTCTGTATTTGGATTTTATTTACATGTATATGAAACGGAACACATTTGAAAAACATTGAAAAACACAAGTGTGAATCCTTTTGCTGATCATGAAATACAAGTGTGAATCCTTCTGTGTGCATGTGTGTGACTGTTCTGAGCCCATACATGTGTCCTACATGTCTTGTGCCGTTGCTCTAAACATGTTCCCTAATAAGAGTTACACTCTTTAATAGTGAGGTGTGGTTTCAGACAAAGGTTAACAGGAAAACAGCTCATGTTATCAGAGACCACAGCTGCTCTCTGCTGTTAGTGGCCATTTAATAAGGCCTTCCTACTGACACACACGTACACACGCACTGACACGCGCGCGCACACACACACACACACAGACACACGCACACACACACTTGCTCTTGTGCAACACATCAACAGTATTTTCTTAGCAGCATTGAGCAATGATTCCTCTCGCTTCTCTCTGGTGCTTTTTATGTCAAGTATTAACTGTGCCATTGTCTGAATGAATACACAACATAAACATGTATTTATATCATATTTCAAACATGTCTGTCTGGCATATTGTGATGACAGGCGCAGCCAATCAGAATCTCACTGCTTAATACCTCAACAGGAAATGATAGGTGACACCTTATCACTTGTGGTTTAGCCTGAAAATACACTTTATTTTCACACTCACAAACCTCTTTTAATATCCTTTAATATATCCACCGCTGCTTTCTAATGGTACATTTGAACATTTTCAAACAACCATCAATTTGTACGATCGATATAAGTAAAAGCTTTAGCATCTCTTTACAAGAGGCAGGAATTGGCTTTATTTGCTTTCTCTCTGAGAGTGAGACAGTGTAACATCTTACTCTGAGCTTAGCTTAACATAAATACTGGAAACATTGCTCTATCCCAAATTCAAAAACACACCACCATAACCCCTCCTTCCTTCTGGCCCCTTTGCTAAGCTAGGGTAGCCACACCCTTAATCTTAAACACCAGAACAGTTTCACAGAGCTGCAGGGAAATATTATGATGGGTAAACAATGCTTACAACAAGATGTTCCCCATTCATTCTAATGGAAGCTGCTCACTGGCCACAGACACTGAGGATGTCTTTCTTTGACTTGCGTGTGCATTATCCACCTGCTGACTCAACGCAGGAGTTGCATGACAAAATAACATCCTCTCTTTCCAAGTGTTATCACACCAAATGGTTGCAAAACTGATAAACAATGTGTGTTTGACACTAATGTATTATTCATAATTGAATGAACACTCTAAATGTACAGTGTGCAGTAATTGTGAATTTAAAAAGTGTTTTATGTTCCAGTGTGCAGCATGTGATTCTGCACAGTGCCTATATTATGGTATATTCATCCACCCTTGTGTAATGTGATGTGTGCAGAGAGCAATAGAGCAACAAACATTTCCTAACAAAGCTAATGGCTGTTATTGTCTCTGTTACTACCCCCCCCCCCCCCTGTCTGTCTGTGTGAACTAATGACGCACTGAGCGGCACTGTCCGTGCATTAAAAGGTTTTCCCCTCAGCTGAGCTGGATGCAATGTGCTGCAGCCCATAATAACTGGCCTATGTGGGCTAATCCACGGTTACATAAGGCCAGTTCTAATGACTGTGTTGTGCTGCAGGTGACGGCTCTAATGGTGGGCACGCTCATTTCCTCTTTACACTGCAGCACACCAGTGTACAGCACATACTGTCAACACACAGATGGTATATGGGAGGGAGTTTTCCGCTTCTGGAAATACCAGAATGATATCTTGATCATGCATAAAAAATATGATTTTAGTAGAGCTGGCTTTAAAATGACCCTTAAATGGACCACTAACTGTATGTAATATGTATGCATTGAGGGGTGCAGGAATGAGACCTAAACACCTGGGAATGAGTTAGCATTTACCTCGTCTCAAAGTCAACAGTCCTCTGAGTGTTTTTTTTTTATCGTGGAATAAGATCTGAAGTCAACACAAGCTGGAGAGATCTCTGTTATTTCCTATGACGTTACACACATCAGTAAATCCCCCACTGCTGAATGACAGAGCTTCTATGTGCCTTTTAACAGCAGTTACTAATAATGTGCTGTGGTTTGTTCACACCGTAAGATGAGGAGGGGGGGGGGGTAGATATCATGTGTTCAATTCTTACTATGACTGAGGCTGACACTCACACAATCAGCTGCGTGATATGGCAGCAGATTATTCACTCTTATATCTTGACGTGATCTTTCATATGTTTAACAGACCTGTATTATATAGTGCCGGAGTAATATAAATCTGTCTTTGGACGATGCTGATATTTAGAGTTTTCTTTGCATCTGATCAAATACAAGAATACAATATAACTAATAAGACACAAGTTAAGTGAACATTTATTCAAAACGGTTCCTTTCTATCTCTCTTTACTGCAGTGCACTTAGAAAAACAAGGATCAACTAAATGAATATTTACAGGTGGTTGAAAGAACTTTGTGGTGAGAGAAATTGAATAAATGAGGATTAAACATAATTAGCACATTTGAACCTTCACCTCGCGTTGGCCTAGCAACACTGCTCACTCTGTGTCTCAGTTCTACCTGCTCTCTGTATTCTATAACACCACGATGGCCGTCAGTGTTTCCATCCAACGGGCTGAACAACAGATGCTGTGAATGTTGCTGTGGAAATCCATTGTCACCAGAGCAACCGCACCCCCACCACACAATACATCATAATGTAGTGGGAATACTGCAAAGAATTCCTGAACACAATCAACTGTTTGAATGCACTGTGGGATCTCCTCACACTCGGCCCTCGTGGAGAATGCTATCATTCAGGAGGAGAAGGAATAGAGCCTGCTTGATGCTGCATATCCACAAATATCTTTTTCTCAAATAAATGATTCAAATACCTAAAACAACAAAGACCAGTAGAAAGATGGTTATTGAGAAAACATTACAAGGCTCAAGGTTCAGGAAATATTCAAAGGTGCTATTGTCATGCATGTTGGCAAAACATCTTCAGAGTAGCAAAGAAGACGATACTACAGTATAACTGTTTAAATGACACAAACAAAAGTGTAGCATGTTGAAGTGTAATTCAAACAACTGAAATGTGCAAAGAATTATCTTTCTGTTGTCTCGTGTCAAACTGGGTGAAGATGAAGTATCTAGTGAATGTTCTGTGAATGATAACTGAGGCTGTGTGGTTGCAGAGGACGTCCTGACGAAGGATGCAGGAGAGTGTGCCATCTGCCTGGAGGAGCTGCAGCAGGGCGACACCATCGCCCGCCTTCCCTGCCTCTGCATCTACCACAAAGGGTAGGATGCCCCCCCCCCCCGACAGGGACACTGTCCAGGGAACAAATAAAGGACTACAAATACACAATGGGTCCGAGCTTCTCCAACACACTCACATTTCTGTTCTACTTAAACACACAGAAACTACATTTTCATTTGAAACGTGCCGGTCCTTCACCACTAGGTGTCAGCAGAGTCATAGAGGATCAGATGAGCGCTTTATGTCAATATTATGTTTCTTATTGAAACAAATAAAAGAAGAATTTCCTGAAAAACAAGAAATAAAACGGTATAATCCTACATTTTGGGTATTATAAAGTGAGTTTATTTGTTCCTTTATAAGTTAATGGAAATAGGAATGAAAGCATTTGTATGCATACAAAAATCAAATATGATATACATAAAAATCCCTTCCTTTTTAAGTATTTTCCTTAATTAAAATATGTAATTTTATATTTCAATGTATTTTTTATTTATTCATCTATTTCTCCCTTTGTGTATGCACCTGGGTCCTCATTTATAAAGGGATATACGCTCACAAAATGGCGAACGCCAGTTTCTACGCACTGTTTGCGATTTATAAAATACTAACTTGACGGGAAAACGTGCGGTCCTCCACGCAAACTCTGACCCATGCGTACGCACTAAGCACAAACACGGGAGAGACGAGAAACTGCGACGCCGTTGGCAGAAGGAAGAATGGAGAGAAATATGTGGAAATAATACCATAAATAAAATGTTACCTCTCATTTATCATATATGAAGAATTCATTTTCAAACATTGATTAAAGCCAATCTTAAAATGATTAAACAAACGCCTGTTTGAGACTCCTCAGTGCACACAAAAACATAACTTGGAGAAATAAATAAATACGGATATGTTATTGAAAACCACCTCGAATATGTTGTGTTAATGTTATGAAATGTTTTCTCATAAATGATGCGGTAAGCAGGAGGACAGCATTACGTCTAAACTGACGCCGTTTTGCATTTCTATAGGTTGTATACGAGCATGGTTTTATATTCTATCATGTTTAATCGTGTTTTATGCCGTTTGCCAAGACTTGATAAGTCGCTCATAAAACACAGGAGGTATGGAAGCTAAGAACACCATATGTGGTCAATTGTACAGCTAATATAACACAACACATTAGTTGTATTTCCTTTAACTGGTGGATATAGAGTTGCTGCGGGGGGGGGGGGGGTTGAGACGCACAGGCTGCAGTGGAGACGCTGCGCACAGCTGATCGACAGCTGGGACACAAACCACCAAATACGAAAACATAATTCAGATCCAGTCGTCATGACTCCACTCCGGAGGGATTCCCCGATCATTTCTTACAGTTTCTCATCAAGGGGGGGTCTCCTGTCCCCGGTACAAACACACTGCCTGAGGAAGGATGTGTATTGTTTTTGTCATTAATCTTTTTCGGACCACTTATTTATTTAGGTGACGATCCGACCTCCATGCTGCTACTCTGGTTCAAACTGCATCCACCAAACAATGTGATTTATCTCCACCTCCCCAAAATAACCCACTTCTGACACGGTGTGAGATTGTCTTTTTAGCTGTTCTGTCGTCATTTCCTGCGATCTTCTTCATAAAGTCAGTCAGAATGAATGAATGAATGGGCGTTTCTTTGACTTCCCCTTCCGGTGGACCTCCATGGGACCTTATTTTGGAAAAATTATGTATTGAAGTCAATGGAGAGAGAAAGATTATCTTTCGATTCCGTTTGAATTGTGCCACGAATTACACATATGATGTTTGTCAATTTAAAAGATAATTTTGCAAGTAAAAAAAAAAAAAATGTGTCGTAAAACTGTGAAGTAACACATTTTTTTGTGTGAAGCGCTCAATGAACTACAACTCTGGTCTTGCATACGTCACCAACACCAAGATGGCCGTCACGTTAGCACATTTCACTCTTTCTTTCAGAATGAAGTGAAAAGTATTAAAAGAGGTGAAAATCACTCCAAGTCTGGGCATGTTGAGAGCTGTACACACACACAAGGGGAGTTAGTCGGTTCCGTAAGAGCCAGCATGCGGGACCGGCTTTACAAGGTTTCGGTGAGTAACACGAGTGTAATGTGTAACGTTAATGTACGCAACTCTGGGATTTGTAGTCTTTTCTCGTTGCGTATTTTTCATAGTCTTATATTTCAACAGTTTTACGACAAACTGTGACTTTTTTGACATGGAAATAATTTTTTAAGATTGACAAACATCATATGTGTAATTCATGGCACAATTCAAACGGGATCGAAAGATACGTTTTCTCTCTCCATTGACTTCAATACATAATTTTTTAGGAATAAGGTCCCATGGGGCGGAAGTAGATGGGCGTGACTTCGCCACTCTATAGGCAAATATGGGCGTTACGTGAAGCCCGCAAAAGCTGCAACGCATTTCGAGTCGATTGTGATTTATAAAGGGAAACCGGCGTAGGACGTGCCGTATGCACTTTCCTCGCCGGTACGCAATGTTTGGTGAATCGGAAAATGTCTGTACCTATTTTTTTTATTTCTACTACTAAGCAACCTTCCCACGTGAATCCTACGCACGGCGTTATAAATGAGGCCCCTGATCAGTTTATTGTGAATATCTGAAAGCCATATTGTTTTGTGCATTGAATGTGAATTGTTCTGATTAACCCTTAAATGGGCATTTGGAGAATTAATGAATCACCATTACTAAACCCACATTAATCTGCTTTTACCCACATTTGACACCCTTATTATTCCCATGTCACACTGTTATAAGACCCATATTACACTTTAATTACACTGGTATTTCTCCAATTCTACATTGTTATTAATTCCCTATTACACATTATACACCCCAATTACACCCATACACCATTATTTGACCCACACCCATATTAGACCCATATTACTGTTATTACACCTATATAACACTGTTATTACCCCATATTAGACTGTGATTAAGTGTATGTTTCTCATATCTCCTCCCAGCTGCATCGATGAGTGGTTTGAGGTGAACAGATCATGTCCAGAGCATCCATCAGATTAAAGCTTTTTTGCACAGGTACAGTGTTTCCTAAGCTCCCACATAATGGCCTCAACAGTTTGTAGGATTGTTATACCCTTCATTGTGTTTTATATTCTCTGTTTCTCTTTGATGACAGGTACAATGTGAGGGATCTGCGAGATGCAGCGTGGATCCAGAGAGACTGGACACTGTGATCAGTTAACCACCCCCCCCCCCACCCACCCACCCAATAATGTAGTACCACTGTGTGCCAAATCTCATTGAAGCATCCTCAGGGATCCAGACTTTGTGTTTGAGTTGCACATCCGCGCTCAGTCTCAGAACCCCCCGTCCCCCCACTGAGCCCACTGCCACTGGACTGCAGGACACAGGAGGGGGAGATGGACACGGTCCTGGAGGTGGGGTCAAGGTGGAGGGCGGGACCATCTCACCACCACTGCCATTATATTGGTCCAGGAGAAACAGCCAGGGACAGAGAGCATCTGCAGCTCGTTTTCAGAACTGAAGCTGCTGCGAAAATGGTGCCAATCAACTGTGAATAATATCACACACACACACACACACACACACACACACACACACACACACACACACACACACACACACACACACACACACACACACACACACACACCACACTCAATCATCAGTGCTTTTTGATCATATGCCATGGAGAAATAATCCAATCATGGAAAGACTCACACACACACGAGCCGACAGTAGAGTGTTTCTTGCTCGATCCCTTTCACATTCTAACAAGAGGTTGTTCTTGTGTGAACGAGATGAAGAACGTTTCTCATGTTTTGAAGAGAAACTGTTTCTGTTGTAAAGATATTCTTTTGATTTTGAGAAGGATCTGTGATGCACCAAATGAAGTGAAATGTTGTTATAACAAGTAAAGTCAAACAAAATAAGCTGTAGTGATATCAGAAAACATAACGTGAAAATATCATTTTCTAAGATGGATAGGATCTCGTAACAAAAAGTTTTCATTTGTCTTTTTTTCCAGTTGCTATGTCTCTTGTTTTGTGCTTCTCCATGGGAAATGTGGTTCTCTGATGTAGTCTATGATATGCTGTGTGTTATTTATAGCATTTGATCAGACAAATACACTGAAACTGGTTCCCTCTCAAAGTGAAAGAAATGTTTGGACGTTCACATTTGCCATACCTTTATTCTTTATAACAATTCTTCCCTCAGTGATAATAACAGATTTACTACAAAAAAGATTTTTTAAAGACATATAATGAAAAATGAAATAAAAAGAAACCAAATTATAGTTCATATAAATAATGATAGTAATATTTTCTGTGCATCAAACCTAATCAAATTTGAACACACATGTTATTTAATTTACTGTTTGTAACCCCTGATGTTACATTACATTACATTTAGCTGACGCTTTTATCCAAAGCGACTTACAATAAGTGCGTTCGACCAACAAGTACATTACAAACATTGCATTTAGATGTTCCCTGCGGAGTTATTCCTGATGTTCAGGTGGCGGTGACGCCAGCGACAGGAACATGAATGTAAACACACACAACGTGAAGGTAAACATGCCTTCTGTTTGTATCCAAGAAGAGTCCACAGAGCTCCTCAGTGAGATCTGCTCTGTGTGTTCTGTTTCTACAGCATGTTCAATCCTGCTCAGGAACACACTGACACTGAACCGCCTGTTAGAGACACACTGGGCCTTTCTCAATTCTCTCATTTCCCCTCCTCGACTCCTCGGTCCTTCGGTAGTGACCCGGAAATGATTTTCGGCGTGCCATGTTGAAGGACATCTCATTTCTCTAAATGCACATCGAGGACCGAGCATCGAGGAGGCTCTCTGGAGGAGCTCTAACCGAGGATACACTGATGAGTCCTCCACGGCTCCTCCGCTCGCATCTCCGAGGAAATTAGTGAAATGAGAAAGGCCCATTGAGTGCATTATGAATCACTCTGATAACGTTGATGTGAACTTCAAACGTACTTTTTGCTGACATTTGGCAGTAGAGAGGGGAGAGAACAATGGGAAAAGAGACACAAAGCTCTGTGGCAGTGCTGTGATATACATATTTTAATATATATATATATATAGAATCACAGATATATATCTATACATTAGTTTGCTCCATCCTCAAAAACACATTTACTTCTGATCATTGGACATAACTTATAACATATTAGTACTTTTGTTTTGAACCACTTGAATATACGACCAGTTTGAATCATTTTCATATTTAGTTTAGAGGTAGGTTTGTGTGCTCCTGAACAGGTTAGTTTAAAAATAAGTCATGTTTATTTTCTCCTCAGAAGCGTTTTGAGTCGCTGTGGCTTTGTCAAGTCTCACACAATGACTGAAGTGACGAGAGGGAGACAGTTTTATATTTCATTTTTATAAAAAACAAAACAAGGCCCTCCATTCATATTTCCTTTGCCCCCCTTCCCCACCCCCACTTTAAGAGCTGCTTCAACTTTCAATTCCAAAGATCGAAATAAATAAGAATTATAGTTTAATTTGATCTTTAGATGTTTCTTCTTTCTTTACAATAGGGGAATACAAATTCTTCAAACTGTTGCATTGCTAAATGACTATTACACAATGTGAACTAACACACCCATGATCAGTGCGTCATCACAGAGATCAGCTGGGTCTACAGTCATGTAGCTTCACCGTTTGTAGAAATAGTCTCAACACTTGTCAGACTGATAGGCCCAGTGCTGCAATGACATGTTATTTAATATACATTTCAAGATATAAAGAGGTTTGACCCTCACACTGATGTTTTATTTTTTGGGGAAGTACAACAGAAGGCCCTAATAGACGACAGACTTTCGATGATCTGTCATTGTGGTATTTATTTTATTGTTGATCTTTTTTAACAGACTCATCCACCTAGCAAAAGAAAACATCATATTCTGCATTTGCTGTTAAATGATTCCATAAACAGAGAGGGGGGAGGTTAGATTCCTCGTCCATTTACTTTGTTTCTCTAAAGCTTTCCAACACTTTCAGCCATGGCCTTCCTCACTTAGAGGACAGCCACATTATCTCCATGACAACTGAGGAAGAGTCAGAAACATGAGGTAGGTGTGGGAGGTATTTTCATCTTTAGTACTGTCCTGGGAGTGTGAGGACGCCGTCCTAACGTTTCTTGTCAGGATCCCCGTCAAGCATTACCTGAGCATGTGTGCTGTGCAATATGTAGCAAGACAGAAACAAACAAAAAAGATGTTAAAATATTTATTTTAAAAAAGCACACACCTTTGGATAAAAAAACATTCTCTCATTGTTAATGCTAAACACAGATAGTTCAAAAAAGATGGGTGCTTGCTATGCATTATGGGAAATGTAGTATCCAACGGTTATGAAGCTTGACCCATTGTAGGGACTACGCATCAATGTGTGCAGGCCTCTGTCACTTCAGTTGTGACTTCCTGTATGGCAGTGTTATACGAAGTCTTATCAAGAAGTGATAGGGGCCTGTTTGCTTTGGATGGCATTAACAAGAAATGCGTTTCTACATCAGTGCTTCCCCTTTTTTGTAATAGTCACCTCAAATTTCAAATAATTTCATCTCCTTCATGACATGAAAGCGACAGTTTCCTCATGGATGTGAAGTATATAGACGAGTGTATTTCCCCTTCACTGGCAGTGGGACTTTTTAATGCTAACAGTTACAGACATGACTCAGCAGGTCTCAGGTTGGTGCCCCTCAGTGGAAGCGCAGCCTCTTCTCTGCCACAAACTGTTTCTCTTCCTCCTCCGAGAGCTGGTTTCCTTTCACACTGTGGACACAGGAACACACACCGTCACACATTTACTCACAATTTAAAACACATGAATGTGATCTCTGATGCTGTAAGGGGCTTCTCCAACTACCACGTTTATGGAAAAACATCAGCTACTTAAGCTCCCTAATGCACCACCAGTAAATATCACTTTTTATGTTTCTCTTTTCAAACCCATATTTTCCTTTGCGTCGATCACATAATAGAGAGTGACATCATCTGCTACCGAAGACAGGGGAGGGTTAACTCAGTACATGTTGTTTCTTCAACATCTTCCTCTCTGTGTGTGTGCTGAGCAGGTGGAGTAACTTCCTGACAGCTGAACAATGAGCTGAGTCTTAAAGGTCTCCTATTATACCATTTGTAGGCATTATACGTCTCAGATATATAAAAATATAAAAAACATGTCTCTGAAGTGTTTTGCTCAAAATACCAAACAGATCACCTGAGTGATGCAGGGATGACGTATTTACCCGGAAGTAAGCTGCACATGGATTCCCTTGACAAAAAAGCAACAGGATTTCTCCATAGGATTTTGGAAAATAGCTCGAAATAAGGGCTGTGGAAAACGAACCTGTTTGATAAATGCACGTTTTGTTCAGCCGGATAATATCCACATGTCTACCATACTTTTATATTTTACGAATCATAAATCTAATCGCCAGAAGCTAAATGCTAACGTTATGCTATAAAAACGAACTACAGGCGAGTACAGCAGGGTCGCACAACTTCAACGTCAAGCCAACTTAAGATCAATATTTAAAAATACAGATTCTAAATTGTACAAGTTGAAGCGTTTGTTTGAGCGCAGGTACTTGCTTTCAAGCAGAACAGGGCAAACAAACTTAGCGGGAGTGTTTACGTGTTCGACAACTTCTGTAGTCCTATTCAGCCACTTGTTAACAACCATCGTTTTTCAGACACATAAACTCTTCAAAAATCACCAGTGGGGTCACTGCTGATGTGTTTAATGTCGTAGAACAGAGCGTGATCCGTCTCTTAAATGTGTGTCAACCACAGACCTTATTTGGAGCTATTTTCCAAAATCCTATGGAGAGATCCCATTGACTCTGAGACGAGTGGTAAAATGCTAACTCACTTCCGGGTTTTAGGATGGGTCACTGCACCATTCTATTGTAGCATCATACCCCTCTATTTCAGCCCTGTTAGAGAAGTGCTGATTCTGGGTCCATAGCTTTAAATGTTTCCGAGCTGCTGCTGGCCACGCCCCTTTGGAGCTGCTGCTGGCCACGCCCCTTTGGAGCATGCATGAGAGGAGAGTTCATGCATGCTTATGCAGGAGAATTCTACCGAGATACTCAGCTAAATGCTTCCTTAATTAAACGCCATATCATGTTCCAAACCACATCAAGGATTATTTCTGAAACAGTTTGGAGCTCAAATGCTTTCTCTCTCGCGGATTTACCACAAGGTGAGTTCCTTTTTATTTCCTGCTTCTTACACATACTCTCTCCAGTACAGGTTAGCTCTGAGTGTTAGCAACGCTTGCTAATGTAAACAAAGACCATATTACTTCCAAAACACGTTGCGCATTGTTTCTGATAGCAACGTTTCAAAAAGTGCATTTTGCATGATAGGGGACCTTTAAGATAAAGCTGTGTAGATAACAAGTAACCCCTTTCATATTCTTCCTTGATACCTTTTGTTGCAGCCATACTTCATTTGCAAGTGACGTGCGGTGAGGTTCATGGCTGGTGAGGCACTGACTCTTTCAGAGTCAGATTTACAAATATCATATTTTGACCATAATCGACATATTCGATTATTTTCAAAAGCTTTTTTAGTCTGATGCTTCGATTCATTTGAAACAGACCGTTCAACAAAAGGATACCCACAATCTAAATATTGGATTGTTCTTTCTTAGTAAGATCCCATTTTCATTACAATTGGGGTCTTACCTTGACTTGAAGATGAAGTCCATGCTTTCCTTCTGGACAACAATCTCTATTACTTTTTTGTAAAAGTCCTCCTTATCTTCCTCTAGTTTCAAAAGTCTAGTTTGTTGTTTGCGTCGCGTCTACCGCCATGGTCTACCCATGGATGTATAATAAGAACGGGTCTACCCCGTCTCTGCGTAGAATAACAGTAGCAACAAGAACCTGTGGGCTCACTTGCGCCCCCTTCAGTGCGGCAGAGGTTATGGCTGCCTCCCCTGGTGCTTTTTTCATTGCCGTTGTATGATGAGACCAGCGAGCCTAAATATCATACACGTTAAATAAGTTATTTAGAGACTATGGATGGCGAGGATAAATGTAATAAAGGAATCTACAAACATTACATTGGTGACATACAGTGAGATGGTGCAGGCATGCGCTTAGGGCCCGCTTTCCAGCCAGTTTCTGTGGGGTGACGCATTCTGAGGTGAGGCAGAGCTCATCTGTGCCTCACCTTACCACACAGTAACTGGCTTGAGCGCGCTCACAAAATAAGTGCCCGCGTTAAATTAGTGCCCGCGCTCCAGCCAGTACTGCGGGCTTACGTGAGGCAGAGCTCGTCCCTGCCTCACTTCTCATCGCTACCCGTAAATGTGCTGATTTTGACTATAAAAAGCGATTGGAATCATACAGAAATCACATTTAGAAGTTACAACACAGATCAGTGGAGACATTTTATTATTATTACTATTTAGTTTTTCTTTAGTTGTTTTTCCGTTACATTGGAGTATGACAGGTGAGGCTCTGCCTCCCCTGCCTCCCCTGACTGCACGTCGCTGTTCATTTGTATCATGTAACAGTTAAACATTTACTTTCTTGCCATTTTGCAAACACTAATGTGATCGTTATTAATTTTCATTGTTTAAATGAATTTAAGTTGTTTATGTTTTTGGTTTGAGGATGAATAGTCTCTACAACCTTGTTATTATTCAAATATCATTAAAGCGGCCCAATATCAACCTGAAAACCAAACAAAAGCTATCCAACCATAAATACTAATATCCTGATGGTTTGAGAAAGACCTTGTGTTTTGACCCCCTTTGAGTTCCTGTGATGGTCCTCACCAGATCTCTTTGAGGGCTGAGTTGTGAGGGAGGGCCTCGGCCAGCTGCTGGATCCCCTCCACAGAGAACTGGTTGCTGATTAACCTGCAGACACACACACAGAGAGGTGAGTGTGTGACAGGCTATGTGTGAGCAGAGTATCCAGCAGGACCCATGGTGTGTGTCATCTTTACCAGAGGTGGCTGAGACCTGTGTCTGCCTGGACCAGGTCAGCAAAGTGTGGCGCTGCGTCATCAGTGAGCTCATTCTGCACCAACCTGCAACAGCACAGACGCATTACACACTTCTATCTGACAGATATGAGAATGTGTTTCTCTTAGGAAGGTTTCTAACAGGCTGAAATGACCCGGAAGCGCTTTTCCAACTCAGCTTAGATTCAGCCACGCCTACTTCCGCATCACTAAAGCATCACTGCAGCGTCAGAGCGTCACCTTTGGAGTTTTCATCCCTCAACATATGAATCTGACAGCGACAGTCACTTCATAGAGCATCTGTTTCTAAGTAGAGTGATACAAATAGCTCTTTTGATATGAAACAAGATCACAGATCATTATTAAACATGGATTTCAGAAACATAAATTAGCAAACAATGTGAAGCCAGTATTTGAGTAATTGTGCTTTGTAACCTTCCAACACTGTCACACCCGCTATAACGTGTTTCAGCATGGCTTACACACGGCTATCTGATAAAAAGCACATGTGTTTTTTTTCGCAAGCTAACGTGATAGGACTTCCGCATTGTTAATGTGGGGACGTTCTCTTTATAAATCCATGACACAATCATGCCGCTTTATGCTAATGCTGAAGTGGGCGCACTGACACATCACCCAGTGTCAGTGCATTCTGTTTTCCTGAATCCTGATAAATCCCCCCCCCCTTTCCATAACCCCATGACTGAGGTTAAGTAGAAAAAGACATGGGACCTGATTTTTTTGACAATTTGACGGCAGCCTGGGTATGACAGCAGACGGCTGAAACCACTGAAATCAGAGTGAGAGCAGCCTACCAGAATATGCTGAGCACGCTGTTCTCTTTCAGCGCCTCCGACAGGCTCCTCCCACCTCTAGACGTGATGCCATTGGCTGAGAGACTAGAACACAGAACCACCTTCATTTAATCAAAGAGTTAAAACATTGAGTTTGTATTGTATTTGTAGGCAGCTGCTTCTCACCTGAGGTTGGTGAGGCTCGGGTGATTCCTCAAGGCTTCTGCGAATGCTTCTGCTCCCTCATCACCGATGCTGTTCCCCCACATCCTGAGAGCACAGAGAACACACATCTGCATCAGGAGGCATGGAAACACTAAGGGACTCTTAATCAAGCCAGCAGTATCCTACAAGATAAAGCAAACTACACATGTTGACTGGCCAGTTCCAGTAATACTGGGAAGTGGGAGTATTTGAGTTCCCAGTCGGAAACTTAAACTGGAATGCACCCTGAGGTCAGAATTGCTGCTTGTAAACTCTGAGATACCTCACCATACATTGTTCAAAATGGAGTCTCCGCATATGAACATTAAGAGAACACTGTATTAATTGTGTCACATTAAAATGTAAATCAAGTGTACATATGGTACTGCTCATCTTCTTCTACCTGTGGATATGTGACTACAATGTTTGTGTTCAGAAAATACAAAATAAAGCTTAGTAATGTATAACCGGTATTGCTCATGGCAACATTCTGACTTGTGCTACTGGAACACAGTCAACTTGGGAGGGAAGTTACTCCCGGTTCAGACCTCAGACTTGTAAATGGAACGCAGCATAATGCTTCAATTTCACATTTGTAATATGCACACACGATCATCAAGTCAAACATGTCCTTTTTAAAGCTCAAACTGTGTGACCTGGTACATTTTGATAGATGATAGATTGATACTAATGATCCCAACTTGGGAAAGGATTTAAATGGTGATGGATGTATTCTAATGGTTTTCTAAATTGGGGATCATATTCAAAAGAAAATAGGTAAATACTAAGAAGGTTATTATTGAGTAAATCAAGTAACATGTGTTTTTTCTCACTCAAAAAAAACGATTAAACCGATTTTGTCCTCTTCTGAAACATGTTTGCACCCCCCTGCTTTTGATGAGCACAGCGGGACACGAATACAGCAGAGAGATGATTGACAGCAGTGAGGGTCTCACCCCACATCAAATATAGAAGAGCTCCTCTGGATTGCGCTGGCCAGATATCTCCCCCCCGACACCAGTGATCCTGTTTTTGCCAACCCTAAGGACAAAGTGATGTAATCATCAGGTTTAGGGACATGAGAAATTATTCGCCAAAACAGGTATATTAATTGAGAGGTACTAACAAATACCAAGATCACAACAGATGTCATTACTTATATCAGTGTTATTGATATAATATTATCATACTGGTAACAATTAGAGCATACTTGACGACTCGCAGCTTTGGGCATTCCTGGATGATCTGAGCCACCAGCTTAGCTCCAACATCTGTGATGTGATTGTTGTAAAGGCTGAGGACAGAGAAAGATTCAGTTACTCTGAAACAAGGGGAATTATACTTTATGGAGAGCTAACAATTATTGAGGCAGGGACATATTGGCTACCAGGTTTTGTACCTCTACTTTTTGTATAGTCAAAAATACAGGTGTGTACTTACATATAGCTTTTGAAAAAAAAACATATTTAGACGTATCGTGAAGTTTTGTGTATGTTTTATTATTTAATCGAAAAATACTATAAAACACTTCTCAAAACTCAATGGTAAACATCAAACTCACCAAAGCAATGGCAATCTTGTTTGGCTAAACACCTAGCTACGGATATTCATTTAACTTTTCACGTTGAGTAGAACTTGAATGGTGTTTAGAATTATGACTGACAGAAAATGTAAAATCCAAAGGTGTTGTATTTAGGGGATTGGCAGAAATGGAATATAATATTACATATATATATTAACTATGTAAAATCACATTAAACTAAGAATTGTGTAAGCATAGATCTACATATGGAGCACGACCATGTTTCTACAGAATGAACATACTAGCTCCAGAGAGGAACTCTCACAATATTACAAAACCCTAAGGCCACTGTATTTCTCAAAGACAAGTTGTTCCACAGCACTCAAATCCAGCACACTGTCCCTTCAGGGAAACAATGTCCCTCCTCTGGGTACAATGCATGAAGTCAAGAATGAGCTTTCAATACATCATCATAAGTCAACATGGACAAAGTCTTCTTCAAGTGCTCAGAAAAAAGTACATTTCATCTAAAAGTCCATGAAGTGAAGTGAGAAAACTAGATTTCTGTCCTATCACCAAAGTACTATGTGCCGTGGCTTCCTTCCTTGTTTTTCCACCAAGCCACTAGACGCCTTAAACAGACAGTTCTAACTAGTTTCTCTCCTTAAATTACTCACAGTTTGAAGTGTTGCTTGGCCTCCGATGGTTTAGAAGATGTTGCGATGTATTTGCTCAAAATAAAATAATAAACTTTTGCACATGCAACAAAGAAAAATAGGCCTTTACAATATTCAAAAGAAATAGGCAAAACTCAAATAAAACACAACTTAGGTATTCTTTCTTTCTTGATAATGCTTATAACTTCACAACTTAAAGGGTACTTGTACGGTTTGTATGTACGTGTACGATTGAGTACGGTTCAAAACTGTTCCTCGACGGCGTCTCTCAACAGGTTGCCCATCACTGTGGCGTTAGCCCAGGCGCCGTGGGAATTGTAGTCCTTTATAGTGCGTTGACTACAGACGTCACAATTAGGTGGCCTTTCTTATCAAATCAAATGACTGGCTCTAACAATATGAATGTACATTTTTATACTTTACTTGAGCATTTCTGTTTCCAAGTTACTCAAAATAATTGCTGTGAACTGGCCTTTGAATTAGCAGACAACATTCCTGTACCAAACAACTCAGGTTTAAACTTGACAAATCAAATGGTCAATGTAGCCCTTGATGCCGATCACCTTACCCCTTAGATTGAGCAAGTTAAACCAAGAGACCACTTTTAGTAGTCACGCTTTCATGGCCCTTTGTGATAGATGCATTATTTTCATTTTCATTGACAGATGACATTCTGAAATAAAGGTTGTTGTTGTCATTTGACTTGTATCCTTGCTTAGAGGACAACATAAGTAAATATTGGCTCAGCTTACCCCACTCTCCCATACAAGGATGTTTTATTAAGTCTGTACAATGCTGTTTGTAGTCCAGCATTCTCTGCAGCACTACAACACTTTATTTAGAATGATATTCTCACATATTTTGCCTTTACCAAATATTGTGCCCACTGTGATTTGGATGTTGGCCTAGTCCAGATTGCTATTTCAGTAAAAAGTGTATTAAATGTGCGGCTCTAGTATGTAGTTAATTTTGAAAGCATAATATGAATACATATTCTTATTGTATTAGTACGCTGACTTGAGTAAAGAATGTGAATACTTCTTCCACCACTGGTAGACATGTATCTTTAGATTATATACGTTTACTGTATAACACAGTGTATATTTTCAGATCAAATTGAATATTTGACAGGGGTACTCACCCCAAGATTTCCACGACTTTGTGCTTACACAGCTCCTCTGCAAGAACCTCAATGCTGCTGTCAGACAGCTGATTCACACTCAGTCTGCGGAGAAAGATCCAGTTAGCTTTTGTTTAGAGGAATATATGTTGGAATATCCTGCCATTGAGAACGGGTTAAGACACTGTGTTTTACCTCACTACTGTCATCTTACTGAAGGAGGGCTTCAGCTGCTTCACCCCATAGTCACTGATGTTGTTGTTGTCCATGTCGAGGCCCAGGACCTTGTGACGGTGCTGCAGCACGAAGTTGATAGCGGTGCAGTCCCCGGAGAACACGTTACAGTAGCCCAGCTTGATGAAGTCCGCCTTGATGCCTCTGGCCGTCGTCTGGGCGATGTCTCTGCTCCCTGTCTCAAAGATGCAGCGCAGCATCCACAGGAAGTTGGGCAGCACATGGACCTTCTTGCCCTCCTCACCATCATAGTGGGGTAATCCTTGGAGGTGGGACTTCACACTGGTAGAAAGGTAGGATTTGAGCAAGGCCCGTTTTTTCTTTAATAACACAGGAGAAACCAGATGCTCCATCAGGCCGACGTGAGCCTTGGACAGCAGGCCGCACAGGAACAGGTTAGTGAACTGAAGGTGTTCATTTGTCACAAATGGATTCTTTTCCCTGGACTTTGTGGAGCCACTGATACAGACTTGAAAAGGAACACAAAATGTATTCCTCTTCCTGCTGCACTCTGTGAAGAACTTGAGGATGGAGCCGGCAGGAGCCTGCTCGTCCAACACCAGAGCAAACGCTGCCAGGAAAGACTGCAGGGTGACGTGGAGGAATTCAAATGTAGCGGCGCCCCCGCTGGCGTCGAACTCACCGACAGGCCGCAGGAAGCCCAGTGACAGGTCCTCCTCCGTCAGCCCACACTCACTCATCTGCTCCTGGCTCCAGATGAAGCTTCCTCTCTCCATACCCTGAAGAGCCAGTTTGGCAAACGGTGTGAGGGACCTGAGCCCGGCTCTGAACGTCTCGGAAACACACCGAATGCTCTTCTTCAGCAGAGACGGAGCAGGAGCGGCTGAGCGGCTGAGGAACACCTCGGACAGCAGGAGGAAGATGTCTGTGAGCGTGATGCAGGTGTCAGGCAGGTGGAAACTATCATGCATGGTGTGCAGGTGCCTGAAGCTCTTGAATACGATCCAGCAGAAGAGCGGGGTGGAGCAGAGGCCACAGAGGTGGGGGCTAGCATCCAGCTGCACGGACACCAGCTCTCGGTGCTCCTGCTTCTTGAAGTGCAGGTGGATGTAGGTGTTCAGGTGAGCCGGGGAGAAGCCACGCAGAGCCACCTTCTTCCTGATCACCCTGCTCTGGATCTCGGTGCCTGTGCGGGCCGTCAGAACCTTCTGGGAACCCTTGAGCAGTTTCCCACAGAGCAGGCTGATGAGCAGCTGGAGGGGGTGGGCCTTTACATCTGGTGAGCCCACCTCAGCAACATTCATCAGGTCACTCATCTGAATCTCATCGTAGCCGTCAAACGTAAAGAGAACCTTCTCAGGGAAGCGCAGGATGAACTCAAACACCTCGTCGTCCGGGTCGTGGTCGGGGCAGCAGTTGTGTTTGAACAGAAGCTCTCTGAGGGACATCTGCTCCGAGTCCTTGAAGAGGCTGAACGTCCTGCAGCGGAACTTAAAGAAGAAGATGGCGTCCGTCTGTAGCTCTTTGTTGGACCAGAGATTCTGGAGCTTCTGCAGCAGGATGGATTTCCCCACCCCGGCATCCCCCATCACAGAGATGGTCTCCCCCTGGGGGTTGAAGATTGCGTGGTCTCCCAGCAGCGTGTGCAGGCTCTCCAGGAAGCCCAGACTCTCGTTGCAGTCGTTCAGCAGCTCCATCAGCGTGTCGGTGTACAGCTCCCCCAGACGGGTCTCCTCTTGCTGGCCGTACGACATGATGAAGCTGGTGTCTTGGCTCATGCCGCGCCTCAGCTTCTCACTGAACCTGCTGACTGGGGGGGGAGCATATGGAGCTAAATCAAAAAAAGGTTTTGATCATTCAAAGAAATACATTTTATTTGAAAGTTCAAGTTTTTATCCTGAACTTTGAAAAACACAATGATGTATTCAACCGAAAAATAAGTTTCAAATATTATTTTGGGTTGAATATTATTTTGATTCAGTTTTGTCATATTTCACTTTTATACATATTTTGATATTTGAATCCTTTTTTTTTCAATTGCAGATTTTACGTTTTCAGTCTCAAATTTTGATTTTTCAGGTTTCAGATTTGTTTTCACTTTCCATTCGTAGTTGTTCGCTTTCAGACATTTGGCACTGATGTTGCGTGGGGGAAACAGAAAGCAATAGTAAGCTTTATTATAAGGTTCTATTTAGGACATTTTATCCATTCTTAAAAATATGTTTTTTTGTAATGTGGAAATCTTTTAAAATGTTTAAACCAGTGAAGGTTATTTTTTTTCAATAAACTGTATTTTTTGGATTACTCGTACTCAAGTTCATCCACAATAAAATATATGAAATACATAACATTGAATACATTTCAGCTCAGACGCACCAACACACGCACACTTTAAAGAAAGCATGAATGCATATCCCTCTTAACTTTAATAGTTATTGTGGTAAGTTACAGTTTGATATATCTGCATGGACTAAGAGCGTGTAATGTACAGAGGAGATATTGTATATTGAATGTAGGATTTATTTTTAAATGTGGTTGTTTTACAACATATTCTACACTCATTGATATACATGGGGTGGGTAGAAAAGCCATGCAAAAGGAACAGTGTGAGTGATTGAAACACTTACTGGGATCTGTGTTCACCACGTCCAACAGTGCTACTTCACTGCTTGGGTTGAAGTTGATGTCTTTCAGCCATGGCTGGAGGTCTACGTATGCATCACATACTTTGTAAATGATGTAAATGAAGTATTCAGAGGCCTCCTCACCTTTGCATTGGACTAGCTCCAAGATTCTACGCACCTGAAAAATAATGAATGAAAAGAATGTCAGTCGTGGTTAGAATTTGTTTTAAAGAAGTTAGCCTTAAAACAGAAACACCCTGTGTATGCAACAGATGTCTTGATTCTCCTGCCTGGTCTGTCTTGGTGGCAGTTCGCTGAACGATCTCCACATCCTCCTCACAGACGAAGCCAGAGGCCAGCAGGTTGTCCAGGATGCAGGGGACGCTCCGGAGCCGGGACACCAGCAGCTCTCTGTGGTAGGTGAGGAGGGAGAGGCAGGACGGCCTCACCTCTTCTCTCTGACCCATGGTTACTGCAGCTCAGCCACCTGTGTGGGGAAACAGGTGAAAGCCATTCAAACATCAGTTCCTAAATCTATATAGTACCATTATAGACATCAACAATTTGCATTTGGACATCACTGGTGATATCTAGTAGATATTTTACTTAAGTAAATATATCAGTACTAAGTACTGTGAAAGTAAAAATATAAAAGTATTGGCATCTAAATATACTGTGCCAAAAGTACAAGTACTTGTTGTGCGTAATGGCCCATTTCATCATATGAAGTAATGCATTGTACATACACATCATGCATTATGTTCATCACAGCTGTTAAATGTTGAGCTAATTTATACATATATATATATATATTTATATATTATATATATAAATTACTGCTTACTGTATTTACTGCTGGATATTTCAACCTGAATCTGTAAGGTATGTAAATCTGTCAGATAAATGTAGTAGAGATAGCCAGTAATACACGCAGCAGCCTGTCACTGTGTGTTTGGTCCAGTGGTGGATAGTAACAAAGTACATTTACTCAAGTACGGTACTTAAAGGTAGGGTATGTAATTCACTTCAGAAACACGTTTTGTTATATTCCATGGAATGCTCTTAACATCCCTATAGCAATGAATACATTAAATGTTTTGACAATAAATACATACAAATATGTCATCTGTGGAAGCCGTGGCGCTGTAAAAAGCACGACCAATCATCTGAGCCGGCCCGGCTAAAATATACAATACATAAATAATGCAATAATAAATCAACTTTGACGTACATTTAGAGGTAAAGATATCCAGCAGAAGTATATAAAGGTATTCTAATTAGCTCTACAAGTAGCACAGGTGGTAAACACATGAAATAATAGGCCATTCAGCAGGCTAAGTACTTTTACTTTTGGTACTTTGATGCTCATACTTGTGAGTTTTTACTTAAGTAAGATTTGGAATACAGGACTTTTACTTGTAACAAAATACTTTTACTACTTTTACTTTTATTTTGAAAAATGTCAGTACTTCTTTAACCAGCGTTACTAGCATTAGCAGTTTTACCAATATAAAACTGGCAGCTGCTCCGACCTTGTTGACTGGCTTGTCATTTTTACAAATGAATGCTAAATATGTTGAACTGAATACATTTTTACAAGGTATGAGCGGTATCTGTTATCCCTTTTGTGTTTCCTAAATCCTGTAATCCCTTCCTCAATGAAGAGGTTCCTCACTGTCAACACATTCCTCTCTGTTTGTTTAGCACTGACAGTGTGTTCAAAAAACTAATTACAGGTAAATTCAAGGTAACAAATGTAAAAAATAACGGATTCTGGTTACATCATTAGCACCGTACTACATTAGCTGTGTTTGTTTAGTATGACATCTGCAAAGCTCACTGTCCTTGCGCTACACACTGAAACATTCCTCCTACCATTGTGTTGCGTCCACACCAAAGCGCTGTAAACACTCAACTGTAAAGTGACAAACAATTGTTGAGAGGAATTAACTCTTTTTAATATCACAAGTGCCCAGATATGTCACTTTGAGACACATTACATCTGCTGTTTCTGACAGAGACAGCTTTGTGTTGGAGGAAGTGAAAGTATGCAGTTTGAACCGTTTGAACGCGTCATTCCTTCTGTCACAACAAAGTGTTAGTGCCGCGTTCAAGCACCCACAGAAATGTGGGTTTAAAATCATATCAGGTATTTTCTCAATTTTACACTAAGATCATGCCAAAACGTCCCTGATGGAAGAAGTAGGCCAACCCAAATATTCGACTACATTAGAAATATTAATGCTATGGTGTAGAAGGACACTGTTACAATTAAAAAGTTGTGCTTTCAAAGTTCTACCAAAGTAAAAGATGTAAGCGGTAGGAGAAGTACTCAGATCGTGTGCTTGAGTAAAAGTAGAAGTACTCAGATCGTGTGCTTGAGTAAAAGTAGAGTACCAGAGTGTAGTAATACTCTGTTACAGTAAAAGTCCACAGTATTGGCATCTAAATATACTTAAAGTAGGCCTTCCAAAAGTAGTCGTTGTGCAGATTGGTCCATTTCAGAATAATATATATGATGTGTTTTATAATGATTGATCATGAAAGTGTTCTCAAAGCTGGTAAAGTTGCAGCTAGTTTGAATGACTTTGTATACTGCAGGGTAGCTGGTGGATTTACTCCAGGTGGAACTAAAGTCTGATTCAACACTTGATTATATTTCACATCATTCATCCAGATCTGAAAGTAACTAAAGGTATTAAATACATGTAGTGGAGTAGAAATACACCATGTACCACTGAACTGTAGTGGGGTAGAAGTACAAAGTAGCATAAAATGGAAATATTCAAGTAAAGTACAAGCACCTTAAAATTGTGCTTTAGTACGGTAATTGAGTACTTAGTTACTTTAAACCACTGACAATAAGATTATGAAATATATCACTGATGGAAGAAGTAGGCCACCTCACATCTTTTACTGATGGCATGGTGCAGAAGTGAAACGTTCTGCATTCTTAATTCTACCAAAGTAAACTATTTAACTATAATAAATACCAAACCAGAAGCAAAAGCTCTTGTTATGCAAAATTACTTATTTTAGAATATGCTGTATATAATTATCTGGATTATCATAGTTGATAATGTGCCTATGTTGCAACTGGAAATAATGTAACTACTTTTTGAACTGCTGGGTAGTTAAATCTATGAAAATACATAATAATAAATTCGTTTATTTGTATCTATATGACAAATACTAACACATTTGGTCAAATGTAATGTAATGGAGTTAAAAGTATAAAATAAATAGGAAATACTGAATTAAAGTACAAGCAGCTGAAAACTGTACAGTACTGAGTGAATGTACTTAGTTTCTTTCCACCTCTGCAAAATAAGTTACTATTCACAGCCTCTTTGTTCTCATCTCCCCTTACAGGGCTTCTCCAATGTCCTTTATTCTTGTTTTATTATATTTTCTTCTGAAATATCTTGTAGCCCTGTTTTTAAGGCCTGACCATGATGAGTTGTGGGACCCTGACTCTCTCATGTCCTCTCATCTCTCTAGGTTACTGTCGGTTTGATCAAGAAAAACAAATGACTTTTGAAGCAGCTTCGTTATTTCAGCTGATAGTGTGCCCTCATGGTGCATGGATAAAGTTGTATAATCAACGTACCTCGCAATACCTGTAATCTTTAGTTACTATATTCAAATCCTTCTCATTATATCCTGTTCAGAGTATGTTGATTATGTGTGCAGCTGTGCCAGAAATACATATATCTACAATCATTCAAACCCTGCAGTTAGAACATATCAAGTTGTAATCGTTAGGACACTGCAATACTACATATAGTGACCACGATATCCATTTGTGTTATTCTTTTTTTTGTGATTCACTCTTGGTGTATTTACTCTAATTTCCTCCCAAATCGACTGATATATAAAAGAAAATTGCATGCAACCGCAGTCTGATATGTATATTATGTATAAAAGTCCCCAACAGATGGACAGAAGCAATTTGTTTAGTCAGTTTTAAGTGGTTACAAAGCAACATCAAATGTAGAAAGGATTTTTAAAAATGCCTTTAATATATCGTTTTGTTTAGTTAGTTAGTTGTTGAGGATGTGTCGGGGTGAGGAGTAAGGACGTCCTTGTTGTAAGACTACATGTTTTTATTCTACCACATCTACTGTATACAGCAGCAACACACGGAGCAGAATCCCCTCTCCCTGTTCCTCTGACTTTGGACCGAGACGAAGCCCGTGCTGCGGTCATCACTTCTGGAGAGGACCTCATGTTGATCAGCAGGGCCAACGGTGGGGGGAGCTGCGTCACTTGTTGATCCTTTGTTGTTGCCAGAGGAGGGGTCTTCAGGTGAGGCTGGTTCACAGTGTGGAGCTTTGCTGTAGGCAGAGGTGGAAGAAGTACTCAGATATTGTACTAAAGTAGAAGTAGAAGTACCAGAGTGTAGTAATACTCTGCTACAAGTAAAAGTCCTGCATTCAAAATGTTCCTCAAGTGAAAGTAGAAAAGTATTCTCATCAAAATATAGTGAAAGTAGCGACAGTAAAAGTAGTCGTTGTGCAGATTGGTCCATTTCAGAATAATATATATGATATGTTTTATAATGATTGATCATTAAAGTGTTCTCAAAGCTGGTAAAGGTGCAGCTAGTTTGAAGTACTTTGTATACTGCAGGGTAGCTTGTGGATTTACTCCAGGTGGAACTAAAGTCTGATTTAACACTTGATTAGATTTCACATCATTCATCCACATCTGTGAAGTAAATAAAGGTATTAAATACATGTAGTGGAGTAAAAGTACACCATTTACCTCTGAACTGTGGGGTAGAAGTACAAAGTAGCATACAATGGAAATACTCAAGTAAAGTACAAGTATCTCAAATTTGTACTTAAATACATTACTTGAGTAAATGTACTTAGTTACTTCCCACCTCTGGCTGTAGGTTGCAGAGCAGCTGGTTTCACCTGCTGAGTCCTGTGTGGGGCAAACACATGATGATGTCACATAGGGGTCTGGATCCATGTCTCTGGGAAGGTGTCTCGGGACTGGATTAGGAAAAGCCAGAAATCTAGGTGTGTAGTCATGGACTCTGAACTGAATTTCAACAGTCACATTAAGACAAATACTAAGTCAGCCTACTATCACCTTAAGAATATATATATATTAGGGCCGGGACTTTAACGCGTTAATTAAGATTAATTAATTACACAAAAATTAACGCGTTAAAAAAATTAACGCATTTTAATCGCACTTATTTTTGCACCGCGGAACGTTTCTCACTGGATGAGTTTCAGGCGTACCGATTATACTGGAGCACCAACTAACGTTCATGACTTCAGACAACAACAAACCACAGTGAACAACAGTGGGAAATGTTGTTTTAAAAAACGGACGGATGGAAGCGTCGATAAGAGCACGGTTGTGTGCAAATTATGCAAAAAGGAATTCGCATATCACCGCAGCACATCAAGCCTCAAGTATCACCTCAATGCAAAACATATAGCAGCTAGCGTGGACGTTAGCCTCTTTTATCGCGTTCACACCAAAAGGAGCCGGTACTAAAATTAGTTCATGAGAACCTTTTTACCCCCACGAAAGTCCCTGCTAGAGAGCAGAGAGCTGCTAGAGAGCAGGGACTTTCGTACGACTCTCTTGTGAGAAAAGAGCTATATGTCTGATTGGCTGGGCGGATTGCAAACCACGCCCCGTAAAACTCCCAAAAAGTTTTGTGAAGCCGCCATTGTCGCCATATCCTCGCATTAGCATTATTAGCATTAGCCCAGCGCAGAAACACAGAGAGACTAACTTATGGCAACACAAAATAAAACATGGGAGCGGTGGAGATGAGGAGGTGTCGGCGTTCTGGCGATTTACTCGGAAGGCTGCTGGGACTCCCAGCAGCTTCTACTGAAGCCAGTCCCCAACTCCGGGGACTTCCGGCCGGGGACTTTGGGCGGTAGTATACGCCGTGAAGTGGTTTGCGGCCTGCCAGTAAACCCAAAGCAGAAGAAGAAGAAGTGACGTCAGCGGCTTCATTTGCCTAATCCTCCCCCAGGTTCAAAGAGTTCTCATGAACCTTTGAGGGAAAAGTACTGCGGTGTGAATGCGCCTAATGGTATACTAAAATCCATGTGAAAAAAATTGCTTCTCACTGTTCTTAGGTCAAATATTTATATGTGATTAAAAATGCGATTAATTTCGATTAATTAATTACAAAGCCTCTAATTAATTAGATTAATTTTTTTAATCGAGTCCCGGCCCTAATATATATATATATATATATATATATATATATAAATATAATATATATACGGTTAAAATACTTTTTAAAAAGCATATATCTTCAGTAGACTGGACTACTGTAATGGTGTCTTCACAGGTCTCACTAAAACATCTATTAGGAAGCTGCAGCTGATTCAGAACGCCGCTGCTCGAGTCCTCACTAACACTAAGAAAGTGGATCACATCACTCCTGTTCTGAAGTCTTTACACTGGCTTCCTGTGTGTCAAAGAATAGATTTCAAAATACTGCTGCTGGTTTATAAAGCACTGAATGGTTTAGGCCCAAAATACATTTCTGACCTCCTGCTAAATTATGAACCATCCAGATCTCTCAGGTCTTCAGGGACTGGTCAGCTTACTGTCCCCAGAGTCAGAACTAAACATGGAGAAGCAGCGTTCAGTTATTATGCTCCAAATATCTGGAACAAACTCCCAGAAACCTGCAGGTCCGCTGCAACTCTGACTACTTTTAAATCCAGGCTGAAGACTTTTCTTTTTGCTGCTGCTTTAAACGGAACTATTCACATCTCACTGTAACTTTTATTCTTGTATTTTATATATTAGCTTGTTTTATGTTTATTTTATTTTATATGCTTTTTTATGATTGTTTTTAAATGCCATTTTATAATGTGTTTTTCCTTTTTGTAAAGCACTTTGAATTGCCATGTCTTGAAAGTCAACTTTATAATCAATATCTCTGTGTGTGATACAAACAGGGAGACCGAAATTCAGTTTCTACAAAACCCCAAAATCACAATATATTTAAGGATAAATAATACATACAATAGAAGAATAGAA